TGCAGAGCACAAGATTAGAAAACAACCATGAGGAAAAACAGATCAAGAGTCTAGAACAGGGGTCCTCAAACTTTTTAAACAGGGGGCCAGTCCACTGTCCCTCAGACCGTTGGAGGGCGATTGGAGAGTGGGGCACATTCCACACATGTGCACTGCGGGCCCCAGATGAGTCGGCTGCTAAGCAGGACAGGCAGCAGCAGCAAAAACACCCGGCAGTCCGGATAGATGTCCTCGGCGGGCCGCATGTGGCCTGTGGGCCGTAGTTTGGGGACGCCTGGTCTAGAACATGCCAACGCAGACAGCTGCTCGCTCACCAGATCCACCAGGTGACCTATTGTTTGCCGATAATCACTGAACAAGTCGTGATGACTTGCACAAAGCTTGCCTTCTGCTCTAGACCTCCTTTACCACTTCCATTTGTAAGCTGAAAAAGATGAGATGGTCTTTGAGACAACAGTCTGCTATCTTCTCAGGCTGAGACACTTGCATAAGCCATGTTTCCTTCACCACCGACAGAAAACAAGATACGGCGTAAAAGACAAGCATTTCTTCAATTCAAGACACAGAAGGAAGAACGAGGAAGTACCCTAAGACCATAAACCCCCTTCACTGCCAAGTGGCTACAGAGGATTGATCTTTCGCTCTAGAGTGAGTCTTTATTGTACTTTATTGGGCCTTTTGTCTATGTAGACCCCTTCCTCCTGGCATTAGCTAATGCCACGGCATTCTATTCTGGGTAACAGAGTGAAACTCTATCTAAAAAAAAAAAAAATCTGATTTTAAAAGAAGTAAAACTATTTTTTTTTCCGCCAGAGCTAGAGTGCCATGGTGTCTGCCTAGCTCACAGCAACCTCAAACTCCTGGGCTCAAGCGATCCTCCGACCTCAGCCTCCCAAGTAGCTGGGACTACAGGCATGTGCTACCATGCCTGACTAATTTTTTCTATATATTTTTAGTTGGCCAATTAATTTCTATTTATTTTTTTTAGTAGAGACGGGGTCTCGCTCTTGCTTAGGCTGGTTTTGAACTCCTGATCTCGAACGATACTCCCGCCTCGGCCTCCCAGAGTGCTAGGATTACAGGCGTGAGCTACCGCGCCCCGCCTCAATAAAACTATTTTTATGGACCTCTGAAAGTATTGTAGATTCTAGGCACTGAGCCATACTGTAGTTGATGAATGAATCTTCTAGTTCAAAGAAACTGTTCCTAGTCCACTTCTTTCCTTGAAAAAGAGCAGTGTGTTTTCTACATTTTTTTCTTTCTTCTTTTACTTTAAGCTGTCTCCTCTTCTTGTCATTAGTTGGAAAGAGTACATTGATATTTGTGCTGTCTAGAGGAAGACCTCGTGGCACTGCTGTAAGGCTGCACAACGAATTCTCAGTGGCTCGTAACAGTGAACATTTGAGTGTCCTTATCTACATGGCCACGGGGCAGGTAAGTTGGCTTCTGTCCTTCTTAGGGCAGATCACAGGAGTGTAAGAGGAAATCCAAACAAACTGTGCAAGCACATTTGAAGCCTCTGATTGTTGTCACGTCTGGTATTGCTCTGAGCACAGAAAGTCGCATGGCTAAGTCTTCAGCCAAATGAGAAAGTACTCTGCTTACTGAATCATCCATAGCAAAGATGGGGAAAGATATTTGATATATAGCAAATCTACAGCATACCTATAATATCTATAAGAAGACTTTTGCAAATCAATAAGGAAAGAAAGATGAAATCCCCAACAGAAAAATACTTCAAGGGGATTAGCAGGAAATTCACAAAAGTATAAGTATTAATAACAAAGAAAGATAGGATGTTCAATCTTATCTGTAATCTAAGATATGCTAATTTCAACTGTATGAGAAATTTTAACTCATGAGATTAGAAAATAATAACATGATTAACATTGACTAGAGAATAATTTGTGCGATCTTTCTGGATATCATCCTGACAATGGGTGTTATCATTTCAAATGCACATAACCAATTACTCAGCAATTTGCCTTCTAGGAATTTACTCTACAAAAAACGATGATTTACCCTATGCAAAGATCTACCTACAAAGATATTTATTATGGGGAAAAAGAAAAACATGGCCAAACAAATTGAAGAAAATTCTTTGTTCTCTTGCTTTCACCCAAAGATCACCTTTATATACATGGCAAAACTACCTTGATCATTTTACTTGTGGCAAAGACTCACAAATTTGACAGTACATAGTAAACTCAACTCACCAGTAAAGTAACCAATTTGCTACCAACATAACAAATTTCTTTTCAGAACTAAAATGTACTATGGCACTAGTTTAAGAAGAAAAAAAAAACAGAACTAAAATGTGTTTTTACTGTGAAACATTAAAAATATCTCTACAGGAAGGAGAAAATGAGATAGGAAAAGAAAGATAAAGCCGGAGAAAATGAAAAGATAAAGGTTACCAGGCGATTCACTTTAACATGCTTTCCAGGTTTCACTGTGGCTTTTGTGGTCCAGCATCCTTCATGGTGCTTGGGATGGTTTCTCCTCAGTCCGTGTCCTCCCCACCTGGAGGAAAACTTAGGTCCTAACTTTGACTACATGGTTCAGTCAACTGCCACTCTTCCATTTGCTTCTTGTCGGACAAATTTTTTTTTTTGAAATGTTTCCTATGTACTCTCATACCCTTTCTCCTTGTATTTGTTGACCAAATCTTTGGCATATGTTTACTGACTTTTCAGTGGGGTTTGGGAGAAAAATGAGATAAACATGCATTGTCTATATGTGATGCTTACCCAGCTGCTTTGTAAGAACAGGTTTGGAAATTTAAACAATGGGATTTAAACTAGACATGAATAAGAAAAAAGAGAACGCAATTTTTAAAACTTCAAGGAAGCTGATCGTGGTGGCTCACACCTGTAATTCCAGCCATTTGGGAGGCTGAGGTCAAAGGATCATTTGAGCCCTGGAGTTTGAGGCTGCAGTGAGCTATGATGATGGCACTGTGCTCCAGCCTGGGTGACAGAGAGAGAGACCCTGTCTCTAAAAACAAACAAATTTCCAGTAAAAGATATATAATAATTGTGACGTATCAGTTTCTAGAGATCAATGTATACATTTAATTTGTGCACTTCCATTATATAGCACTTAAGATAATGGAAGAAAATTTGAAAGTATTCTTTCAGAGATCCTATATGTTTGCTATGAAAGCATGAAAAATCAACTTCCAGAATGAAATGATGGGAAAAAAAAGTCCTGCTTAGGAGAAAGAATTTAGATCTGAAATTTACTTGATATGAACATTTAGACTAAAGAAAGTTGGATAATCCTAAGAAATTGTGTCAGCACACGAAAGTAGCCTATTTCTTTTCCTTTGTTCTAGTGATCTATTAAATATACTTTTGAGGCAATCTAATGTAGTAATTAAGAGCAAAGACTCTGCAGGCTGACTCGCTGGTTCAGATATTGGATCTGCCGCTTGCTGACTTTGAGACACAGGCAAATTAAAATCTTGGGTGAGTACTAGGTACGTGCTGAGCTCAAGGTCAGCGTCTGCTGGTATTTGTCCCCTGTAGAGTCCTGGAAATTTTCTGAGACATTGCCATTCTCCAAAATCTCCTTTTTCTAGATCTCATGAAGAAAACATACTTCTTCAAATTAACTCATTTTTGAAATATGTAAAAAAATCCAAACATGCAAATCATTTTAATAGGCATACCTTGGTTGTACTTCTTGATAATTTCCAGGAAGATGCTTTAATCTCTTAAAAAATTCTCAATTCATGAGTGGATGAATAAAATGTGGTGTATGTATACCATGGAGTACCACTCAGCTTTAAGAAACAACGGTGATCTAGCACCTCTTGTATATTCCTGGATAGAGCTGGAGCCCATTCTACTGAGTGAAGTATCTCAAGAATGGAAAAACAAGCACCACATGGACTCACCAGGAAATTGGTATTAACAGATCAACACCTCAGTGGACATATAGGAGTAACATTTATTGGGTGTCGGGAGGGTGGAAGAGGGGAGGAAGGGATGGGTGTATACAACCACAACAAGTAAGATGTGCAACGTTTGGGGGATGGACACGCTTGAAGCTCTTACTCGAGGCGGGTAGGGGACATGGGCTATATATATAACCTTAACAGTTATACCCCCATAATACGCTAAAATGAAAAAAAAAAGAACACTCAGAACTGCAAAACATGGGAAGATTGTTATGTACCCAGGAGAGCTAGTTTTGCAAGGTGTTCATGGTGATGTTGACATTATATTGCTGCAAGATTAAAAAAAATTTTTTTTCCCTTTTTTTTTTTTCCTTTGGACCTTTTCCTTCTTTTAGTTCCTTCCTTTGTTTTGGGTTTTTCGGGTTGGTTGTTTTTCTTTTGTTTTGGGGTCTTGTCTTTGTTGCTGTATTTGAGGACAAAGATGACTTGTGCACCTGTAACTCCCAGCCCGTAAACTCTGTGCCCCTTTGGACTTAAGTTTTCATTCTATTGTCATGTAAGACAGATAAATATTTTTAGGGGGAAAATTATATCTTTGAATAACAGAGAAGGAAGTGACCTTAGAGGTCACTGGGCCAGTTTTATTTTCCAAGAACTAAGATTCTAAGATGAGATGTGACTCTTTTGGGGGTCACGGGCCAGGGTAAAAGTTCTGTCTTGTGACCCAGAGGTGGGACTTAGTGGGTAGTACTTGCTTCTCCAGTACAAGTTGTAATGGTACAGAAGTGACGCTAATTGATTCTGGGAAAAACTTGAAAAACAAGTTAAGTTACTCTATTTTCATGTTTATTTCCCCTACTCTTGACAGAAGACATAAACACGAAATCTTGTGAATGAGATTGAAATGTCTGAGAAATTTATACCTATACGTGCTGTCATGACATGCCCTCGTCAGTTACAATTCACCCACGCCCCAGGCTATGCACACCATTTTTGATGTTGTTTTTTGGGAGTTAAATGATCTAAGACAAAGCAAACACTTTGCTCATTGCCTGGTCTGCAGAAGTACTTAACAAATTTCAGCTATTTATCTTACTATTATTTGCTTGCATCTGGGAATCCTCTTTTAGCCAAAAGGCTAGGTGATGAAACATTTGTTCACCATCTTGGAGGTAATCACCATATCATTTTTCACGATACCTGAAGAAGCAGGTAAGAAAAATAGCTTTAGCATTATTAAAATCTGGCCACGCATAGACACTAAAAGTTTTCTGGGTGCATTTCAGTGACCCAACTAGGTTAGAAGCTGCAAGAGAAACGTAGTCTTGCTTTCCTGCCTTTTCAACCCAGGCTTAAATACTTTAGTTTTGCATGTTTTGAGTTCCCTAAATTAGTGACTGTGAAAAGGAAACTGTTTTATTTAATAAAATATACCAAGATAAAGCAAAATATCCTGACGTCAAGTAAAGGAAGTCGTATGGGCTTCTCCTGGAGACATCCTTCCTTCCCCACCAACAAAGAAGCCAGAAAAGGAGAAACAGGTTTGTCCGAACACTTCTCCTTTACCAAAATAAATAAAAAGGAAGTAATATGTGGGCTGTTTTTTAAAACTTATGTCTATTTTTCTGTTATGGAAGAAATATGTAATTACCACTAATAACTTACCAAGCAGTTATTACTTGCTAAGTGATGCACTGAGTGATTTGAATGTACCACCTCATATAATTCTTTCAACCCTGAGAAGGAAGAATGCTTTTTAGCATCATCATTCCATAGACAAGGAAACTGACACTAAGAGAGGGTCAGGATCGGCCTAAAGTTCCAGAACTTGCAAATGGTTGATATTCCTCTGTGTAGTCTTTTTTTTTTTTTTTTTTTTTTGAGACAGAGTCTCGCTTTGTTGCCCAGGCTAGAGTGAGTGCTGTGGCGTCAGCCTCGCTCACAGCAACCTCAATCTCCTGGGCTCAAGCAATCCTTCTGCCTCAGCCTCCCGAGTAGCTGGGACTAAGGCATGCACCACCATGCCCAGCTAACTTTTTCTATATATATTAGTTGGCCAATTAATTTCTTTCTATTTATAGTAGACACGGGGTCTTGCTCTTGCTCACGCTGGTTTCAAACTCCTGACCTCGAGCCATCCTCCTGCCTCGGCCTCCCAGAGTGCTAGGATGACAGGCGTGAGCCACCATGCCCGGCTCTCTGTATAGTCTTGATTCCAGCCTGAAACTCTTAATCACTACCTTGTACAACCATGTAACTATGCCAAATAGTGAATTTTGGAAAATAAAGAAAACAAGAAGAAAATTAGACTATGACCTACTGTCAGATTTTTGAATAGCAGTTAGAAATACCACAGGATTAGGGGGTTTTCTGATTAGAAAACTGTTGGAGAAAATGCAAATAGAGTCATTTGATGATAATAGTGCTTCAAATGATCATGTGGACATTACCATACAGATTGCCGGATTTATTCCTAGTTATTTCTCCTACATGGAATTAACTCTTGCACGAAGGAGTGAAAAATAGAAAATTTAAAGACACATAAGGCATTTGGTACTAATTTGTAATGAAGGATGATCAAGCAAGATGTATTGGAATCTTTCCCTACTGGGGGTTTTACTTTAAGCAAGTGGCAGCTCCTCTGAGAAATGTGAGTGTAAATGAAGATACCAGCAGCAGGGCCAATTTTGAGAGTTCTTGCAAAAATGAATTGGTGGGGAAATATAAAGAGGCAATTCAGTCATCAAACATATATCAGTCCCTACGACATGCCTGGCCATTCTCTTAGTAATTGGGGAGAAAACAAAAAACGTCAACAATGATATGCCTGTCTGTGTGGCTTTTCTTCTCTAGCGAGGTACTAAAAAAAAAAAAAAATACGCTGTATTGTCAGCCACTGTGATGAATGAAACATACGCAAGGTTTAAAGATGAGAACTGAGTGGATTCCTGCCCAGGAGACTTTTAAATAGGAAGGAAGGGATGGGCTGTAATCCTAGACTATGGGAGCTGAGGTGCGGATTGCCTCAAGGTCAGGAGTTCGCGAAACCAGCCTGAGCAAGGAGCGAGAACCCCGTCTCTACTATAAATAGAAAGAAATTAAGCTTGGCCACTAAGATAAAGAAATAAATTAGCCAGGCATGGTGGTGCATGTGTATCCAGGTTAGCTCAGGACAATCCTGAGCAGCAGGAGCGTTAGCCCAGGAGTTTGAGGTGCTTGTGACCTAGAGGCCTGATGCCACAGCACTCACTCTGAGCGTTGGCAACAAAGTGAGACGTCTGTCCCCAAAAAATAAAAAATAAAAGAATAAAAGGAGCGAAGGGAGCCATGTGCATATTTGTAAAGCAGGATTTAGCATTGCACTCACGGTTTTTTTCATTCTCTTGGAGCATACGGTGAAATGATAAGGAAACATTGTAACAAATAGGGATCAGTAAAGCATCTATGATGTTGGGACTTTACCCCGTATGTAAATATGTTGGGTTATTTAACACAGCAGAAGTTCCTATAAACATGCCAGGAATAACAGAGTTCTTGCAGCTGAATCTTTGCATGCATATTTCATCTAAGAGGATGAAGACGGGTTTAGGTGGAAGTGGTTGTCCCTTCTCTTCATTTTGGGCTTGTGACCATCTTACTCATCGCAATAAACCCAAGTCCAGCCACAGACCCAGGCACGGAAGACACCCAGAGAGTCACAGGAGACACGGCACGAGTAAAGGTGACATTATGAACTCTGCAGAGATAAGAAATGAGATTTCTTTACTGCTTAACTTCAGGGTTTTCTTTTACACTGTCATGTTCTGTTTGTGACTGACAGTTTTGTGACCTAGTTTCCCACATGAAACTCCTCTGACCTTGTTTCACTCACGAGCCTCTACGTGTTTTATTATGACCATGTGGAAACCAAATGGTAATTTTTAAGAAAATATAGGACACAGAGAGATTTTGCAAAGTAATCCCTTCAAGTGGATTTTTAACCAAGAGAAATAGAGTTAAATTCCTCCAGTTAAATAGAGTTAGTATCTTCATCTTCCTCAACCTCACTGGGGGGGAAAATCCTGTCTTAATCAGGGTTGTAGCTTCTTCGTAGAATTTTCCCCAGCTGATTTTGTCTATTTTGTGATGTCATGTAATGAATTACAGTTCAGTTCTTCACTTTTCCTTCTTTTTTTTGTTTTTAAACTTCAGCAGTGTTATTTGTAATGTTTTCTATTATTTAAGGCAC